AATAAATTTGGTTCGAAATTAATCAAAATCAACTTCGAGGGTAATTGTGAGTTATCCATTTCCCTCAAGTTGGCACTGGGCAGCTAAGTTCATATCTACATTCTTTTATACCACCCTTTTTTTCCTATCATATTTACGTTCTTTATACGAACCAACTACTAGCGTGTTAAATCCAACTCCGATGGTTGAGATTTTCAACTGTGACTATGTTTTTTTACTAACTCTTACACATATTATCAACATGTAATATAATATATTCTTTCTCACAATTATTAATATAACATGATCGCACTAGTCGTCATGGATAATTGTGAATTATGACTTAGGCTCGCTTGGTGAGTTTTGACTTAGGCTCGTTTGTTGCAGAGGAACGTATAGGAAACTAAACGGTGAGCATGGGTTATGAATAGAAAACATATTCCTCAGCCGTCATTGTCGATGATCCAGATCCGTTGCTAGAGACACGACTTTCCTGTTGCCCCATGGGAAGGAGACACGGAGTTGGATGCGAAGATAAGAGGATTTTGACGTGTTGAGAAAGAGTTTTCCCATCTTCATCTCCTTCGATTTTGATAAATCTTCGTATTGATCGACCCAATAACTAATTAATTTTATAAATTAATTAAAATACTAAGCCGGGTTTCAAAGCGTTACATATCATCCTCCCCTTCTTCAAAAGAGTTTGACCTCAAACTCAGAATGTCTTCTGGCTCAAAGTAGGGGCTGAGGTCTGCGATGTTGAATGTAGCGGAGACTCCATATTCTCCCGGTAGATTGATCTTGTAGGCGTTATCATTGACCTTCTCTAGAACTTCGAAGGGACCATCTGCTCGGGGCAGTAGCTTGGACTTGCGTTTTGTAGGGAAACGCTCTTTCCGAAGATGAATCCAAACCAAATCTCCAGGCTTGAACTCAGCGGACTTCCTTCTCTTGTTGACTCGTGCACTCACTCTCTCATTCATTGCTTCAATTCTCTCTCGGACCTTGGCGTGAAGGTCTTGAATCTCCTTGGCTCGTTCCTCAGCTTCCGCACTATATTTCTGTGTTATCACAATTGGATCAAGTTCAAGTGGGGTCAGGGGGTTAGAACCATAAACAACCATAAATGGAGAAAAACCGGTTGTCTTGCTTGGTGTCCGATTATAAGCAAACTCCGCATGGGGTAGAAGTTCTTCCCATTGCCTTATATTCTTCTTGATGAGCACCCGTAACAACGTTCCAAGGGTTCGGTTCGTTACTTCAGTTTGGCCGTCGGTTTGAGGGTGGTGAGAGGTGCTAAATTTGAGTTTGCTTCCCATCTTTCTCCAAAGTGTCATCCAAAAATGACTAAGGAATTTGCTATCCCGATCCGATACCATGCTTCGAGGAATCCCATGTAATTTGACGATGTCTCGGAAGTAGAGATCAGC